TTAGTAGAGGCAGGGTTTCACTATGTTGATCAGGCTGGTCTTGAACTCCTGATCTTATGATCTGCCTGCTTCAGCCTTCCAAAGTGCTGGGATTACAGGTGTGAGCCACTGCACCTGGCCATAAATAATTTTTACAATTTAGAAAGAAAATAGTTGGGTGCAGTGGCTCACACCTGTAGTCCCAGCACTTTGGGAGGCCCAGGTGGGCAGATCACTTGAGATCACTGCAGGCGCATATTACAACAGTTAGTCGGGTGTGATGATACACACCTCTATCCCAGTTACTCTGAGAGGCTGAGGTGGGAGGATCCCTGAAGCCTAGGATAGTTTTTGTCCTTACTCTGATGGCGCCTGCTGACATTAAAGATTTGGGAAAATCATTATGGTTTTGATAAATGCTATAAAGGGAAAAAATAGGGTAGTATAAAAACATGTATCGGGGTACCTAACCAAATGATGGGATTAGGAAAGGGAAATTAGCCCCATCTCGCCACCCCTCTACAGAGCATTTCAGGGTGCCCAGAAATTTGCAGCTGTGCTATGATTAGAATCATACATGGTTTGAGTGTAGCTGTCTGACATCCTGTGGCTATTTGGGGCACAAGCTGTTTACTATTAGGACATCCTCTGAAGTTGAAAGTCATAAGCTGGGAGATATCATGAGAGGAGAGATTTAAGGATTCATAAATCAGATGAGTGGCTAAGGAAATTGGGGGAAATGCCCTGAGATTCCCCAAATATTTAGATATAATAAAAACATAAGACATCAGCAGCTAGAACTCAAGTTATTTCTAATTACAAATCAACTCAAAATATTAAAATAGAAAACTTACAAACCTTGAAGTCACAAATCTAAATTGTTTCACCAGATAGCCACGGCATCAAAAATTCCTGAAATCAACCTTATTTGAAATTGAAAGCCTATTTTTTAAATTTCAGTTTCTGAGTAAACTGTTCTACAGTGATGAAAACAAAATTGTTTTTTGGAACACAGTGACAAAGTAAACATAGACATAACACTCTGGTGCTCAGAGCCCAGAAAAGTCATTATCAATGACAACAGTGGGTCTCCCTGTCGCCGGGGGTGTTGTCCTCAGCAGCTGTGCACATTTCTACCTCCCCTGAACAGGCATGATGCTCAGTACCACACACTCCCTGTCTCATTTTAGCCTCACCACACCTTTCTCAGCATGTCATGCAACCAGCTAATAGTGGACCTAAGTTCACTTTCCCTCTAAAGGCTATGTTTTCTTCATTACATCCTGCTGCTCTGTGTTTATGGTGAGCATTTGTTGCCTCTAGGTGCCTTCCCTTAGCCTTGTCATGTCTGTGGACCCGAGAGTTTATATAAAACTAGATATTGGTGGTGATTTAACTGTCTTCAAGGTAGCGTAGTGTAGTCCAAAGAAAGTTTGTCATATCTTGGCTACAACCATGACATGAGTCAGAGGGAAATGGTCTCTTGAAACCTCTGTGGCTTTGCTGTTGTGAAATTTTCATGAAGAAGGGGCATAATACACAGGTAGTGGCGCAGCTTGAAGAAGAAGGGAAGCTGATTAACAGTGTATCTGCTTCTCCATAGGGACCATTGTTGTGGAAGGCCATGAATTGCATGATGAAGACATCCGCCTCATGTACACCTTTGATCAGGCCACAGGTGGGACTGCACAGTTTGAAGCACACTCAGATGCTCAGGTATTTTTCTGTTTCCTGAAACATTTCTTTACCAAGAGATGAGAGCATAAGAGGAGAAAGCATTTGCCTGTGCCTTTCCTGATAATGTTGACAGTTTGTCTCAGGGTAAAATAAACCAGTTACTTGGTTTAGATTGGCTTTGTTAAACTAATATATCATTATGCCTTTAACATATGCATTTGTTTAATGAATACATAAGTATCTTGTGCTTTCTACATGTAACTGTCTCAAGTGTGGGGTTGCACAAAAGTGAACCCTTCATGCTGGGCACGGTGGCTCACACCTGTACTTCCAGCACTTTGGTAGCCTGAAGCATGCAGATCACAAGGTCAGGAGATCGAGACCAGCCTGGCTAAGATGGTGAAACCCAGTCTGTGCTAAAAATACAAAAAATTAGCCAGGCATGGTGGCACGTGCATATAGTCCCAGCTACTCGGGAGGCTGCGGCAGGAGAATCACTTGAACCTGGGAGGCGGAGATGGCAGTGAGCCAAGATTGCACCACTGCATTCTGGCCTGGGCAACAGAGCGAGACTCTGTCTTAAAAAAAAAAAAAAAAAAAAAAAAAAAAAAAAAAAAAAAAAAGAAAAAAAAAAAAAAAAAAAAAAAAAAAAGTGAACCCTTCAAGGAGTTAGTCAAGAACATATGAAATTAAGCCATTGCTTAGTATTCTACCTGTTAAGGTATCTGGTAGAAATAAGTACACAGAGAGCTCCTATCCAAAAATTGGCATAGAGGTGAAAGTGGTCAGAAAACACTTCTTGAAGAGAATATACAGGCTGTTTTTGATTCTGGTGTCAATATTTTTTGCCATGATGAAAAAGAGACTAACTACTTGCAATCTTGATCAGACATCCCCAGTCGGCATAGTTGTAAGATCTCGCATGTGGGATTGGGGATATCTGTGCTTAGCTTACCATTTGCAGGGGGAAGGTAGAGCAGCACCTCCATGAAAGGAAGGTCGACCTCCTCAGTCCTTTACCCAGGCACTTAAGTTAGATGTGTACAGAACTCCCTGTGGGCAGACAGTGGCAAGGAGTCAGAGGTATCGAAGCTGGGAAGGAATGCAAGGGAAGGCAGGTAGGAGGTTTGTAAACACTTGACAGTGGGCAGTTCTTCCTCATTAAAACAGAAGTTAGGGGCCTCATCATGTGATGCTTCTGAGTTTCTTGACATGGCTTAGATGTTGTAGTGGGCTTGATGGCCCTCCACTGACTGGAGTTTTGAGTTTATCATTCATTTCATTACCTCTGATGCCTTTGTGAAGTGAGTCATTTCTTAACTTCTGTTTTTGCTCAAAGGTAAATGAGATGATTCCTAATTTACAAGTCTTTTGTAGAATGTATTCTACTCTGCAATGTGCTGTGCAACAGAAGTGATGGTGTCATTATTGCTACATCATAATCAACAACCTTCAGAATAAATAGAAACATTAACCTTAGCAAAAATATGGCAGTTTATATTAAGTCAAAAAGTTTTGTGGTTCATTGTAGAATTAGTCTTTTGTCATTCTGACAAACCTAAAGATCACAGGGGTCATGGTATAAGAAAGTCACTTGGAGTTACTGCTGTGAGGCCTTTGATCCACCTGTTGCGGCCTGAAAAGCTATGCTGCTCCAAGGGCTTCATGATTATTGATCTTATTTATCACAAGAGTTGATATTATTTCTTAGATGGCCGAAAAGCAGAGTCATGTGAGGGGACTCAAGAGGTGGTTTCAGGGCATCTCCTGTGAGCAGCACCCTACAAAAAAAGAAACAAAAAGCTGCATACCTTTCTCCAGAGATGGAGGACTGGCTGGTTTTGAAGAAGTACCTGAATAATAAACTAGATTAATTTTATTGCTTTTGCTCATTTGTGTGAACAAATAGTGCTGCATTATAGAGTCTCCAGATTAAGTTTTAAGTGGCATTTTGCTGAGTTGGGAAGAAGTGTTTCTCCTTATTTGATTGCCATGGTGTGGTGTGCACTGTTCATTCCCACAGGCTTTGGTCCTCTTAGATGTCACTCCTGACTAGTCAGTGGTAGATGAAGGAATGGCTCGACAAGTCATCAGTCCCATACAGAAACTTCACAAAAAGATTAGTTTGTCAGTTAACAATAAGCTACTATTTTGGCATTTTGGTTGTTGGGGGAAGATAGGAGAGGCAGGTAATACAAACCGTAGTGATCAGTGCATGACAGTCACTGATCTACAGTCTGTTTGGATTGTCTTCTGCAGGAAAGTCACTCCTCTTCCCCTCCCCACATGTTCACTCCCAAGCTGTAGCTTTGAGCCAACCTCTGCCTTTTCCCATCCTTTTTCAGCTCCATTGGGCTTCTGTGATATAGGCCCTGTGACTGGGGCAGAAGGTAATCAGAGATGATAGCGTCTTTGCAGAAAGGCAGAGCTGCAGTCAGCATAGACAGGCTTCTAGCTTAGGGGAGGTTCCTGGGTCTGGACAGAGTGGGGACAGTTTTTCCTCATTAGAGAACTGAGAAACACACGCAGAGCTCATCCTGGAGAGCCGAGGGGCTGCCAAGCCCCTGCCAGTGAGAGAATCAGGAATTTCTTGCCCTGCAGAGGGCAGTGACAGCTGTCACACGTCTTGATTCCCAGGCAGTTCAGGGTCTGAGGAGGCTGCTCCAGCAGATAAGAAGGTGCTTATGACCTCTGAATCAGTTCAGAACTTTGTTAAGTGGGTCCTGAGTTATTTCTTGGTTTCAAGATTCATGAGGCACTGATTGTGTCAGGAAAAGAAACATGCCCTATCCCCAAAGAGTGGGGGAAAAGACACAAGGTAATCCTGTACTGCAGTGCAGTTAGTCTCATAGATCACCCAGCAGAGAGGGACGGATGACTGCCCTTCTGTGATGATTCAGCATGGGATCCGTAGCCCTTGTTCAACAGTACCTTCTTTAAGTTCTGATTAATAAAATGTACTTTCCTTTTAAAATTTTCTGTGTGTGCTTTCAGTGCTATCTGGTCCAACCGATGAAATCAGAGTGAAGATATCTGAATAATGTTTTGAAAGCCACACAGAGTTCATATTTCCACCATAAAGGTTCCCTTGAAACCATATCCAGTTCCTCCATCAGATAAAATCCTTATTCAAGGAAAAACACAGGTGAGTGCTGAGTTCCACTGAACTGCCGAAAGGTTTCGGATTGATGTACTCACGTGTTGATATTCTGTCCCCAGTAGAGATTGGCACAGCACTCAGTCTGGAAGTATTGCTCTGGACAGTAGTGGGTGGAGCTAGAGAGAGGAAGCTCAGAAAAGATGGAGGGGGGATAGAAGGCAGAACTGTTCTCACAACAGTTCTCTTGAGGAAGGTAGCCAGGAGAGTAGATGAGCTTTGCCCAGAAATAAAATGGCTATGTGGGCCTGTTTTTCCAAAACTGGCAAAGTCAGTGTGTGGATTCTGGTAATTATCAGTAAAAGTAAACAGCAATTGGCTTGAAAAACATTTAATTCTTCTGGTAGTGGGTTCTCCATAAAATTACAATACCAAAAAAGAAAAATCGCAGTAGCAGTTTCTGTTGTTATATCTAGGAATTTTAGATATACTTATGAAAGTCTGATATTAAGGTAGGGAAGATATTGGCTCGTAGGAGGATCATATGAACATGGGAGGTGGGGCCTGCAGTGAGCCAAGATCACATCACTGCCTGGGCGACAGAGCAAGACCCTTTCTCAAAAAAAAAAAAAAAAAATTTAAAAAAAAAAAAAAAAAAAAAAAAAAAAAAAAAAAAAAAAAAAAAAAAAAAAAGGAAGTAGATCATTTAAAATATATCTCAGTGACTTATTTAATTATTTTCTCCTGTCTCATTCTTTCTATGGGACAAGTAGGACAAGACAAGAAGGGGCTGACCGTTGCTGTTTGTATTTTCAGTGAGGCAAGTTGTAATGTAGTTTCATTTTCTGTTTTGCATATTGTGTAATTTTTTTACTTTTTTTAAAATGAGCATATATTTTTAAGAGAGCAGAATAAAAGGAGAAAAAATGGGATATAAATTGTAGCTTTTGACTCTTTGAGTAATGAGATTGAATATGTTCTCAGTTGTATACTGTAGGGCTGAGGTCCCCACAGAGTCATGAGGTGTGCCTTATGCTGTGCTGAGGCACAGGATCCGGGAAATAAAGAGACAGGACACAGAAGTACAAGGAAAACGCAGCTGGGCTCAGGGGGCCACACCACCTATAAGTGGAGTCAGGCGAGGACCCGAACGTCCAGAAGCATGAATATTTATTGTGTATAGGTTAGGGGGCAGGGCAGTGAGTGAAATCATTTTTAAGGATAGTAATAGGGTCATGAGCAATGAAACATGGGGTCCACCCCATTAGGTCACCTAGGCCAGGAGGTGGACAGTGCGCAGCAAGGGGCCCGTTCCCATGAAGGCAAGGGCCGTGTGCAGTAAGGGGTCCACCCCCATTAGGTCACCGAGGCTTGAAGGAGGGCCGTGCGCAGTGAAGACGCTGTAGTGTGCAATACTTCTATCTCTGGGCAAACTACTTCCAAGAAGATTTATAGGAGGATGCTTTAAGTCACATAGCAGTGACAGTTGTCAAGGTGGAGTGGCTCATGCTTGTAATCCCAGCACTTTGGGAGGTCAAGATGGCTGGATTACTTGAGGTCAGGAGTTTGAAACTGTTCAGTACCAGCCCCAGCCCCATTCATTGGTGCCCTTAGTCCTGGTGGTTGGCCCCGAGCCCTGGGCTCCAAACACTTTTCTTATGTGCATAATTCATTGATCTTATGGGCGTGGAAGGGAGGGTGAAGGGGTAGGTAAGATGGTGGGGAGTACTTGAGATGCTTCTAAGACATGCTAAACTAGTGCTCTGATTGTTATCAGGGTGCAGGTGCATCCGAAGTCTGGCACAAGGAGCCACCCTGTCTGACCCCACCCAATGCATCAAGGGGCTTTTACCTCCTGAGCATTGAGGGCATAGAGCAATTAAAACCATTCCATATTCCAAGAACCTAGGCAGAGCCTGAGGTGTTCCATAATCTCTGCCCTGCAAGGCTTTTCTCCTCCTTGCCAGCTCCCATCTACAAAGACCCTCCCAGATCTTGTGAGCAGAGGTCACCTTCCTTCTCAGAGATCTTTGCATAAGCCCTCTTTACCAGACCCTCATACATTCTCCATGCTCAGAAGGCATTCGTAGGACTAGAGCAGTATTGCCTGCTCTGCAACCACCCTGCGTTGTTTCCTGGTGTTACTTCCCTCTCAGGTGGTCTTTACCTTAGGCCTCCTGTTGCTGCTTGATTTCTAATTAACTGCACCAATAATATAATTTAGTTTGGTACGTAAACTTAAGTGTACTTTGAACCAAACAAGCTTACAATTATTTAGCTCAAATTAACATAGGTCTCCCCCTGGCCATCTTGACCCACAGAGACTAGCCTGACCAACATGGTAAAACCCGGTCTCTACTAAAAATACAAACATTAGATAGGTGTGGTGCCGGGCACTTGTAATCCCAACTACTTGGAAGTCTGAGGCATGAGAATTGCTTCAATCTGGGAGGTGGAGGTCACAGTGCACCGAGATATTTTTCGTTAATAACTGCTCTACTCTAGCCATACACCATAGAAAAAACTATGGTCCCATCACCACCCATACCAGCAAAGGCCAATTAGGTAACCTGGCCTTGACCCTTGTCAAGCTGAAGACCCCCCTGTCACAGGGGTATCAGACAAGACCAAGTAGGGAGTTGGGACTTTCATCCTAGTGGGGCAGAAATGAGCCCCTCTGCCCAGTGGTATCAGTGGAGGCCACATGGGAGGCCTGGATTTCTATCTCCTTTGGGCAGTAACAGTGCATCCCTCCCATTCACAAATGCATGGCAGCAGTGAGGCCACATGCTACCAGCACCTCCTCTGCAGTGTCAGTAAAGGTATG